TTGCGCACAAAATTGTAATATTTATGTACTCGTTTATGTTGCACAAATCGAGTATTTTATATAAAAGATTGGACTATAAAGTATACATTTGGAAATGTTCAATTTCACAAGTTTCTTCGTTATAAGTTGGATATTTTTGATTTTTATGTTCCAACTTGGATGAAACTATACTAATTATTTTTGTATCCTATTGATGTGTTGCGTTTTTAACGATTTCGAGTCTTGATTTAGTCCGCTTTTTGAGTCAGTTGTCGTGTCGTAGTCCGTCTTTTATGTCTTTTCGGTTGCGTCTTGAGTCTTTTGCAGGTTTTAGGTGTTTAAGCGGGACGCAGATGTTTTCGGGCATTATTGGGCTTATTTGGACCAGAAACACTCGCGGGAATCGAGGACCGGAGTCAGTAGCATGAGATCGATCGATCCCAAGTGGGGATCGATTGATCTGTTTTCACACGGCCATCAACAACATTCCAGTAGCTCTGGATCGATCGATCCCAGGAGGGGATCGATCGATCCTGCCTTCATCCGTCTAAGACTTTTAATCCATGAGCTCGGGATCGATCGATCCAACCTTCACACGTCGAGAAATTTTATTCCAGGAGTCGGGGATCGATCGATCCACCCAATGGATCGATCGATCTAAGCCTCGACGACCAGACCGGTTTTCCTTAAACCGGATTTATCTTCTTTTTTTTGTACTTGGGTATAAAATCCCCAGAGACCTAATTTTATTTTGATGTTTTTTTTTCATACTGTTTTTCTGAGACTTCTCTCTTGTAAGCAACCTTGGGATTAGAGATTCATCCTCTTTGACAATTTGGAGAAGATTTCTAAACCCTACCTCTTATTTTCATTGCAATTCAATTATGTTTTCTTCATCGATTTGTCTTGTTTTTATTGCTATGTGTGAGTAGTTCTCCAATTGGGTTTTAGGGTTCTAATTAGGAGATTCAATGGATTAATGGATTGATTGTATTAGGAATTCTCATTCTCTAGGTTCTTTGATTCACATGTTCTTAATGTTAGAATAGGATTGATCACCCTGTTGTAGATTCTAGGTTTTTCTATGCATCAAAAGTGTTTGATAGATTGCCTGAAAGAATGTGGATTGAGCAATGTATTTCTAGCCAACGAAAGTTGATGTTAGGACGCATTGTGAACTTAATGAACTTGTTTGGTAATGCGAATTTGACTAGGAAATTGTCCGTTGTAGAATCGTCTATGTAATAGTTTTCATAATTGGCAATAAATAATAAATTCAGACGTTAAAAAAAAACGGAAATGCATTATTAATTTTTTTTTAAATGACTAATCAAAATGAACATATAAGATTTGATATCTAACTTACCATATTAATTTGTTATTAATCATTATACTTTATCTCTTATCTTTATATGATTCTATTTTTTGTTAAATAAATAAATCATCATATCATCCATATAATTAAAAAATGTAGATTTTTTCCGCATATGCCATGATTTATATTTTTGAAAACGAATATAAATTGTTCAATCTATGATGGAAAAAATGTAACAGGTCAAAAATTCAGATTTGAGTATTATATTTCTCTTAAACAAAAATAAATTCAACAACATTTTTTTTTGTTGAAAATTCAACAACAATTCCGACTGAGTAACGGATCAGAATTTAATACTTTTTTTTTAATGTATAATTTTATATACTACAATAAACTTATAAAATATTTTAATTTGGAACATTTAAAAATAGTTTTATTTTATATTTTTTAAAAATATCATCAAAATCAAAAAGTAAAGTAAACTAATTTTTAACTTTTTGATCTATTAGAACATTTTTATTTTTGCAAAATCCAAAACCAAAAACAAAAATATAAAATCCAAAAACCAAAATCTATAATCTAAAAACTATTTAAAAACTCACAACTATTTATAGCCATAATAAGAAAAATATATTCATTATAATATTATACTAGATTATAACCCGCGGTACACCGCGGGACTATAATTTTTTTAAAAAATAAAAATTTAATTTGTTTAGTAGATTAAAAATATATATGATTTGATGTTTTGTATTTTTTAAATGTACAATTCTTATATCTATATATTTTTAGTGTACAATTACTATGTTTAATTTTTACTGTTTAAAAATATAGAAACAATAACATACAGTTCATTAAGTTAAAATCTAGATTATATCTATATATAATTTAAATTTTAATTATATTTATTTTGTTAAAATTGTTTGTTTTGTTTAGTGTTTAAGATAGTATAATTGTATTTTGATTGTTATATCTAGGATTTCACCCGTAGTATACAGTCTCGTATTACTGTCGACCCAAACACATCATACCATCTAACCCCGTTCAGTGAAATTAAACATTATTTTATTATTATTTTTTTAATAAATACTTTAATTTAAAAGATATATAATTCATATCAATTTAAAAGTTTTCTTTCAAATGGTTATTTAATTATTGTAAATTTCATATATTATCTATATACTATTAAAAGAGAAGTACAAATGTAAATGGGTCGGGTCAAAATCAGAAAATTGACCCGAAATTCTGAAATCGGATCTTTGAAAATTTTTTAGAATATAAATTCGAATTAATAATGAAAAATCGAACTAAAATCAAATGTTTATGGAAATCAAATAAAATTTTATTGTACTTATGGTAACTAATTATAAAATCATATTCCAAACAATATTATACATTAATTACGTATTAATTACGTATAATATATTTGTTCATATACTTTTGGAACTAATTCCATAATAATCAACGTTTTTCACATTAATTTTGCTTATTTTAGCAGTTATCATTAATTAAAAGATATCTTACTTGCTTCTAGAGATTTCTAGAAAATTTATCACAACTAACCCATCTATTTTATAAATTAAATAGATTTTTTTTTATTTTGGTCATGTAAATTAAATAGATATGAAATATATGTAACTAATTTTAATTTAATTAGATTAAATCGAAATTATGGTATTTTCATACTTAAAGCTTACCAAAGAAGTTTAATTTTCAAATTATAAAGATTTCTTGAATATGATT